ATTGAAGAAAGTTTTTTTCCTAAAAAAAAAAAAAAGTTGGCATCACAGTTGGAAAAAAATCATTTAGAATGAATTGGTGTACAATAAAATGAAATATACCAAGGTTTTGTGGCCAGTCAGTTTACATGTTTCCTAAAGTTTTTTAAAATTGTTGATTATTATTTATTTTAGGTTAAAATCAGTCTAAATGTTCTAATTAAATATGCAGTTCTGAATCCACAACAGGAATAATGGTTTTGGGTTTTTTCTGTGCTTGATATGGGGTTTATGAAGTCCTTAACTATTCATTTTCCTGACTCTGGTGGGCTCAGGTTTTGTGACTGATAAGTGACAATGATGCAGTTACCTATTTTAACAACCTTGTGTACTTAAATGGAACTTTCTAGAAACTACCCAAGATATTTATAAGCTGCTTGTTTTGATTTAGTTCCGTAAATGAACATTTCTAAACAAATGGGATGATTATGTCCCCAAAACATGGCATTAGTATGCAGGGCTGCCATGGTTTGTAAGAACAGTGCCTCTGAAGTTTCCCCTCATCATGCCCCTCTCAAGACGTACACGTTCCTCATGCAGCTGAGCTAGACACACTGTCCTGCTCGGAGAAGTTACCTGCACCTCCTGAGCTGGTACTGCTGTAGGTTACGTTGTGGGTCGCACAGTTACTGCTTGAGTTGAGAGAGTTTCCTTATGACGTCTCTGAATTTGACTTTGAATGGAAATCTGTGCTGTGGTAATTGAAGAGTTTGATATTTGGGGCTGTGAACTATGGAAGCTCTGAGGGTCGGGTGGCCTCTAGTGGAGAGACACTGCTGACAGAGGCAGCCAGAGCTCAACAGTGGGCATGTGGCAAATAGAGACATCTGAAAGATTTTGGGTAAGAAGCACTAAACAAGAGGTGTTTCTTAGTAGCTTTTGTCAGATCTGTTGCATTTCCGTTTCATAATGCAAGTATTTGCTACCTTCATTTCTAATTTGGAAGTTGCTACTTTGACCTTGTCACGCGAGAGGTGGATAGCTGTCTTTGCCCTTTGGATTGCTACTGAGGAGGAAGACAACTAGCAAGTTAGAAACCACAGAAGCTCTCTTTTGACTCTACCTATGTTACCTGTCCTGGGAACACTACGCAGTTAGTAGGTTCAGGTGTACACCTGTGTCTCAGTAGTGGGAGGACCCTATATCTACCAGTGTACTTCTGTCTCCCAGGCAGCCAGTTTCCATAGAAGGGAAGCTTGGTGATAAGCCAGACAAGATCCACAAAATATTCAAGTAAGTCCCTAACCTGGATTCAGGAAACTTGACACATTTCATCTGTGCGTGTTAGAAAATTAATGGTTATTGGCAAGTAAATATTATAATTAGAATGGATTTTTTTAAAGCAAAATGGTAGCATCACCAGTGAAGACTTTTGTGCTTGTCCAACCTTTGATTGCTTTATCTGACTCAATCCAATGTGTCGAGCTCTGTAGAAGCCATAGCTGCTGCATTTACCTGGCGTTCTAGGGGTTCTTGATGTATGCACACTAGATTGCAAGACCATTTTAATGTAGATTTTCAGAAACATATTGAAGAGAAGAGACTATACTTGTAGAGGGGGAACCTCAAGAAGAGAGGCTAACCTAAGAATCCTTTTTCTGAACTCTGTCTAGCTAGCCATTCAGTATATATTTATTTGTTAAGATTTGTAATTTAGATTTTCATGCCATTTGTGAAATACTTTTTTTTTTTATTTGTATATTCTAAAAGCTTCAGATATTTAATGGTAAGGTCTGGCTATGTTGTTCTCGATGCTGTTAAGGTCTAGCTGCTCTGATTCATTCTGAATGATGGGAGACAAACAATGTCTTGCTCTCAAGTTTGTTCAGTTGCCTTTTAGGCATCTATTTGACTCTTGAGCCTTATTGACTATTTCTGCTATGGTATTTGCACTAATCAGTTTAAAAGAAAAAATATATATGCAGTTGTGTGTAGGCCAGGTATAAAAATCCAAAATGACTGTGCTGCAAAATGCTAATTCAAATGGTAGGTGAAGCCAAGCATAAACGAAATAATAAACAGATGTGAGTCACCAAATATAGAACACTTAAGTCCTAGCTGCAAAGGGACACAAATGAGATGATAGGGTATTAGTAGAAAGATGCAATTTACAGGTCAGAAAGTAATAGTAACCTTTCACTGTGAAAATTGAAAATTAACCTTGGGAGTATTGGATCATTTACAGCTTATATGGTACTTTTATTGAAGAAGAAAAATCTCTAAAAAGACTTCCTGTGATTTTTCGAGATTTTAAAATGGTGCTTTTCAAAGTGTGTTCTTTTCTCTTCTGTAACTGCATCTCACTGTATTTTCATTTGGTGATGCCTACATAGATGGCCCTACTAGGGTTTCTTAGGGGTTCACAGAATTTTTTTTTTTCCCCATTTTAAATTTTCATAGAAGCTACGGTGATTTACTTGCTTTGGGTGAAATTCTTAGTGAGCACCAGTCATCATGTCTGTTGGTCTTATCTAGGGATTTTACTACTTGCATGTTGTTTATCAGACTGCTTGATTTTTATTTTTTTCATCTTACCTGAGATTAATAGCAGAAGCAGGTTCCATAAAAATCATGTGAACTTCATTATCATTACCTTTCTAGTAATAAAAATCTGATTTCCAAAAATTATTAGCATTTGGAAAAATAAAAATAGAATTGAGCAGGAGATTTTTTTTGTCGGAAACTTCCCATTCAGATATGGAATATGGCTTGTATGTAAACTAACAGGAAAGCAATTTTCCTAAAGTATTAATTTTTTGAAGGAATAAACCACACAGTGGTGGTCATAGAAAAATATCTAGTGTGTTATTTGAAGCATAACATAGAAGAAAGTAGAAGCTAGATGTCATACACTTTAAAGCAGCAAAATTTAAAAAAAAAGCGAATCTCTAATGCATGCATTTAAGATGCCATGTAGTAGTAGCCAATAGTGATTATTGTATAATGCAGCATTTCTGGGTTTGTAAAAGGGACTTTCACAAGCATGTTTGTGGAATGCAGTACTGTAAGCTTGTTTTCCATCTTGTTTAGTATGGTAAGAACTCAATTATATTATTGTTGAAACAAAGTAATAAAATGATGGAAGTGAACAAAGTAAGCTAAAAATAAGTTCCTTTGCTTATCTATTTACTACATATTACAGTGTCTCAACTTGCATGTAATTGTAGATCTAATAAAACATTTTATATGGAAATACTCCCAAAATCTTTTACTTGCATAGTGGTGTCATTGGTACAGAAATAGTATTCTGGTTTTGCATAATTTCTACTAGATGTCCTTTAAGTATCATTGAATATATATATGGGTTTTTTATTAGAACTGTTATTTCTGAACAATATATTCTAAATACCTCATTTGCAGCAATAAGTTCAAATAAGTTTTTATATTATTCATAAGAATTTTTGTAAACTTTCTGAAGGAAAATACTCATTTGATGCATTAAGATTTTGTATTCAGTCTACTGCTATTCACAGGTCTTTTTTCCTAGATTCTTGGAAGAGTTTAGACTTTTACCGTAGCAACAGTTGTTTGGCTTTAACCTAATTTATATAACAGTATAATAGACCTTTCATACTTAAACACGTCTCTTTTCCTTTTTTTTCTTTCTTTAGGTAGCTCTGGTGCAGTGGACAGAGAGTGTTGGTCTCACTCTGGTTAACAGGGATTTGACCTCAATGCAGCTGAAGACCCCTGGTGGACACATTCTGACGTACTATATTCTGCAGATCTTTCCCTTCACTTCTGAGAGCAAGCGCATGGGGATCATAGTTAGGGTAATTTTGGGGGTGTTCTGGGTGTTGGGTTTTATTTCTCAAAAAATGTTTTTACTGAATGTTTATTTTTATAAAATTTCATTGAAATTTGATCCTTCGGGGAATGCATTTCACAAGATTTTCAAATGGAAAGTACACTTTTGACACAGGTACACATGAAATACTAGGCAACCAATTGAAGAAAAATCAGTCTAACCTGATGATGCAGAGACCTTTGTAAAGGACAAACTCTTCTCTTACAGGGAACATGTTAATTTCACTACTTCACGCTCAGCCTCTGATTCTGCAAGTTGCCTTTAAGCCTTTGGTTTTAATTTTCTGTTTTTCTTTCATACAAAATATGTTGCCCCTTCAAGGGATAAATTAATGGCTGAAATTTCTTACGATAGTAGTTAGCATCTTTCTATGCTACTAGTGCTGCTGCTTTTCCAGACCCAGTATTGATATCTGAACTGGCATGCATACACAACACAACCCACAGGGTCTAAGATTTATGAGATATGTGCTTAGTTGTCTCCTAGATGCCCAGTTGGGAGCATAGTAATGATCATTAAAACCTCAGATGAAAGGAAGCTACAACACCATGCTAAAAGGAAGGTTTAAACCTCTGCGAATGTTAAGCATCCGCCTTCTCCCTACCTAAAATCAGACACTTTCGCAGAACAGCGTCAGACAACACTGTTAGATGGTTGGATCAGTGCCAAGTCCCAGTTAAATATGTGTCAAACTCATCCCATTTTTTATTTGCTCATGATGACAAGCCAGGCGTGCCATCAGCCTTAGGCAAGGATACTTCAGGCAGAATATGTGCATGCTCAGGTCTGGAGAGACCTTGGCAAGTCTGTATTTCATTAGGTGAGGTTGGCACTAAGAGCCTGTTTAACAGTGACATGTTCAGAGATACTCTTAAGAAGCTTGCAGATGAGACTAATCCATTCCTTCTGCGACAGACCATACCTCAGAAACTCCTGATTTGGATTATATTTGCCTGTGTGTGAATTCTCTGAATATGCAATGAATGTTTCATCATTAAAACATCTGTAACAAGCATTTACACTAAGTTATTAGTCAATTTTTAATTACTTAGGTATTTCAAAGATACAGAGCAAACTTTCTGTTGTGGGTTAGATAGTATATGCCACCAATGAAACAAAATAGTTGGAGGGGGCATAACAGTGATATTTTAAAATTTAGACGGGCAGCTTAGGGATGCTGAGAATCTGTTACTCACATTGACTTCAGTTAGAGCTGATCCTCTTACATGAGAAAGTAGGGAATATGCATCTCGATGGAATCAGAGATGTCATTGGAAGTAGTAGCATCAAGTAATAAAACTTACCCACCTCTTTGCAAGGTACTTCATCTTTTATAAATGATAATCCATTGACTACTTCAAAAGACAATTAGGTTATTGGTAGGTAATTGTTTTGACTGTATAAACAGATTCCCCACCCCCCTTTCTTTTGCAAAATTTTAGGATGAATCTTCAGGAGAAATTACATTTTACATGAAGGGTGCAGATGTTGCAATGTCCACTATTGTACAGTACAATGATTGGTTAGAAGAAGAGGTAAGAAACAAAATCAAAATTTATAAAGAATAAAATGTTGTAAAAACTAAAAATTTAAAATATTAGGTATTATTGGAATAGGTTTAAAGGAGAACCTGAGCCAATGCAGTAATGGGTTTTGAAATTCAGTTACATATATCCTGAATGGGTTTTAAGGGATTAGAATTATTTCCAATTCTTGAATAACCCACAGAAAAAGCAATGCTGGCGGTCATAGCAGAACACGTTCCTACTTAAAACAAGGAAATTTGTTTTTCATTGACTGACCTTTCACATAAAACCTAATTACTTCTGAGAAGTATTCTGCTATAAACCTATTTATCCTGAAACGCCCTTGTTTTATCAAATTCTACAGTGAGGTATGATTATGAATTACAAAGTTTAATAAGGGTTGCAGCCAAATTGAAATAGTTTTTTGCCACATTTATTAAACTTAATATAAAATAGCTAGTGACTGAATTTCAAAACTGATTAATATTTTTCACTGTGTGGCTCTAGTAGGTACCAGCAATCATCTTATTTTGACCCGACATGCAGACAATATGTTAATACAATGATTACACCATGTATGTTCATAATGGTATTGGCAATATGAATCAATATCTGCTGCAGGGCAGTTTGATTTATTCGGGGACATGAATAAATTAAACTCCCTCAAGACCTAGCAAAATGTCATAAAAATTACTTTTGGCGATAATGATGCACAATTAATTGTAAAATACTTGTTTAATTTATTTAGCTTTATGAGGTCAAATCAATAAGTGTTTTGCACTGGACAGCCTTGTTTTTCATTAAGACATGCTATTCCATGGCTATTTTTAATGTGTAGATATTTTTCTGATAAGAGGTATGTTTAGTGGAAAAAGAAAATAGTTCTGTTACGTGGCTCAAAAATAGTTTTAATTTATTTTAAAGCTTCAACCTAAAAGAGATTTTCTTTTAAGCTAGGAGAGAAAATCTAATTGGCTTACCAATAGCATGCCACTTCATTTGGAGGACCTGAAGTATAATTGCTTTTTCTTCTGTTTGTGGCTTCTCCAAAATAATCTAAGAGTCTAAAGAAACACCAAAAGTTATGGTACAGATATCCCCTGTTAATATATAGTATAAAATGTGTATATACGGTTGAATATTTGCTTAACTATTCTGTGGTTTGGTCCATTTAGTGTGGTAATATGGCACGAGAAGGACTGCGTACACTGGTTGTTGCCAAAAAATCACTGACTGAAGAACAGTATCAAGATTTTGAGGTATGAAGGGACAGAGTGATCTTGTGCTTCACCATATTTAGTTACTTCAAGGGGAACATTCCTCTTTTTTATTCTGTTAAGGTGGCAAAAAAGATGATTCATATTTAAAACATGGATAGTTGAGGTATGGCACACAATCTGTTAGAGATTTTGTCATTTGTTAGTGATTGTTCTGCAGTCATACATAGGATACTGTTTTGCTTTATTATGTGACTGGACAGTGTTTTCCCAGAAGCCAGCGTAATGTTAATTCTGTAGCTTCAGCATGACCTAAAAAAATCTACTTGTTCTCAAAGATAAGGGCAGTTCCTGCTCTAGATGCTGTGATGACTAATTCTTAATAGTTCTTCAGAAGGCATTCTCTCGAGGTGATTTGTCAGGAAAAACATGTATAACATTGGGTATAAAGTAAAATCTGCTCTTTTAATCTTGTTCTTCATTAAAGATATTTAAAGACAAACATTTAGCCTAATAAATCCATATTATAACTGATTGGTAGACTAAATGTATACTTTATGAGTCATAGCAAACTCTTAAGTGGTTTTGTGTTTGTGCAAACAGAGTCGATATAACCAAGCAAAGTTAAGCATACATGATAGAAACCTGAAGGTTGCTGCTGTTGTAGAGAGTTTGGAGCGAGAAATGGAATTGCTGTGTCTCACTGGAGTAGAAGATCAGCTGCAAGCAGATGTTAGACCAACTCTAGAGATGCTAAGAAATGCTGGAATAAAGGTACTAAATGCATACTGCTGATGTAACAGGTTATCACTTACTAACTTTTTTTTAACGAGACACGAATTATATTTGTCTATATTCAGGTTCATTCAAAGTAAGAAATATGCCAAGTCCTAAGCACGTTCTGGGCATGAGCTAGCAGAAACAAACAAGACATTGTGTGTGAACTTCCCAGGTGTCATTCATCTTAAGCTTACTTCTGTAGGAAAACTACCAATGGATAAATGTATGTGACTCCCAGTCATTTATCCCCTGACTGTCTACAGTAAACTGTCCTAGCTGACACTACATGAGTTTGGCACAAGATTCGTATGATAGCAATGTTTTCAGGCTTGGCACTCATGGGAAGTCTCGGCAAAGATCAAAAGATGAATTGTTTGAACTAGAATTCAGAACTGCCCTTGGAGTTTGTTCAAGTCATGTTAAAGGGACAGTGTCAAAAGCTTTGCACAAGAGTTAGTGCTGTGTTTTGTTCATAGGGAGGCTATGCTAGACAACTATCAATTGCACGTTTAGAAAGAATACGTTTATTTGGGAGAGGGTTTGAAGTAAAGATATGAGCAAAATCTGAGGGGATGGGGCAAGATTATATACATTTTGCTTGAAGCAGAGTGTCAAACTCTGCACAGAAAAGGTGTGTTGACTTTGCATTGGTTAAACTTGAATCAGATACAATGGGGTTTTTTTAGCCTGAGAAGGAGGGTAAGTTACTTTGCTTTGCAGCAAGCATGGGAAATCTCCCTTTACGTGAGAGAGGAGTGGGAATGCATGGAGCTCTGCCTTGGGACAAATGATGAGCCAGTTGAGAATTACGGATTAGAATTAGTGGGCACACCAATGTGGACAACATTATGGTGAGTGTCTGCTACAGGCTGCCTGATCAAGAAGTAGTAGAAGAGGCCTTCTTCAGACAACTGGAAGAAGCCTCACATTTGCACGTGCTGGTCCTTGTGCTGGACTTTAACCACCCCAGTATCTGCTGGAAGGGCAACACAGGAGGGCACAAGCAAACCAGGAGAATTTTGGAGTGCAATGACAGTCATTTCCTGACACAGGTGATTGAGGAGTCAACAAGGAGAGATGGTCTACTAGTCATCATACTAACAAACAAGGAGGAATTGGTCAGGGATGTGAAAGTTGGTTGAGGGGACAGCCTTGGCCACCCACAGTAGTTATGAGAGGGTGAAGTTCAGCAGGCTCAGGAGGATCTTCATTAATGTCTATAAATACCTGAAAGGAGGGTGCAAAGAGAACGGAGCCAGGCTCTTTTCAGTGCTGCACAGTGAATGCACAAGAGGCAATGGATGCAAACTGAAATAAAGGAAGTTCCACTTGAATATAAGAAGAAATTTTTTTACTGTGAGTGTGTTCAAACACTGGAGCAGGTCTCCCAGAGAGTTTGTGGAGTCTCCATCCTTGGAGATGTTCAAAACTGTCTTGACATGGTCTTCAGCAGCCTGCTGTAGTTGACCCTGCTTTGAGCAGGGGAGTTGGACTAGATAATCTCCAGAGCCCCTTTCCCATGTCTGTTATTTTGTTATTCTGTTTTTAATTAATTCCTGTTCCCCAAAGGCTTTCAGGTGACAGCTGCTAATGCAGTGGTGTGTACAATTAGAAAAATATATGTATGGATTAAAGCCTTATGATTACATCAAATTTCTTTTTAGTACAGTGTGACTAGTGCAAAGTACTAATATATTAGTACTTCATGTATAGTATTTTCTCGTTTGCTCTTGATATTTCTTCTATATGTGGTCGCTTCTGACTGTTATGTATACCCTGCTTCAAATAGGTATAGAACAGTGTGACAATTTTTTTTTTTAATTATTTCTAGGATTTCAGAGCATTAAAGCTGTTCTGGCTTTAATTACAACCAACATTATAGTAGGCTGGAAACACAATAGTAGCTGTAGATAGGTCATAAAATTATAGATCACTCGGTTACTGATGAGAAACCATGAGCCTTTTTGTCCATTCATTGACCCACATGGATACTAATGAAAAGGATTTTACCTGAGACGAACAGGAAAAGAGGGAGTCAGAGGCTTACAGTTTAATAAAATTGCAACTGTTAACTTGGTAACTATCCAGTAATAACTTGTGCAGCTTAAGTCATTCTTCCTGTGTGGTCTGTTCTGTTTGGTCTCGGGCTAATGGTATTTCATCCAGATGTCCTTCAACTTTCTTGGTGTTAAGGGGCTGAGGGAGAGAGAGCTGTCTCACTTTAAGAACAGATGGATCCTCAACCTTATTCCTTAAACTTTAATGCCTTCATCCGCAGTTCTGCATGGTCAGTGGGCAGGATCTCTTCGGAGTGTTGGGACTGTAGCTCTGCCTCCAGGATATGCTGTCTCATTGCTTGGCTGCTGCTTTCTGACAGTCTCACTAGGGTCACAGACTCTTGTGTTGCATCATTTTGCTGACAAATGTTATCTCTCTTGTAGTTGTCTGCATCCTTGCTCTTTTGATCAAGGTAGCGTCAGGGCCATAGGGAAAGGTTTTTATGCTTTCCCTGCTGTTCGGCTATGCCAGTGGGTTTCCCCAGAGTTTCACCTTGTCTTCGTGTAAATTGAGACATTGGCCCTTGTGAGAAGGGAAGGGGAATGGAGCTGCCTGAAGTAAAGACAGTTCTTTTCTGTTTTGTGTGGTATTGCAGTAAAAACTGCTCATTAATTTTAGTTAAAAATGCACATATCAGTATCTTTTCTCTGGTAATCTAATCCCAAAAGGTACCAGAAAAAGCTTGGAGAGAGATGTCATTTAGATTTGGAGAACAGACACATTGAAGTCCAATGGAGTAAACTTTCACGTTATTTTGCAGATATGGATGTTAACAGGAGATAAACTGGAGACAGCAACTTGCATTGCAAAAAGTTCTCACTTAGTGTCTAGGACTCAAGATATTCACATTTTCAGACCTGTAAGTATAGTTCCAACTTTTTTGTTGGTTCATCAAAGGACAGCTAATAACAATGTTGCTTTATTTGATCAGTAGTTGGCTGCTTGTTAAAAATTGATGGGTTATTGTACTGAGTGTCATAATAATGGTCGAGAGAGTAGTACTTAGGTTGTTATTCAAGGATGTAGAATTACAAAGCATTGCTTCTGTTTAAGGGTGCTTGTTTCTAGATTTGTTGATATGCTACAGAAATGTTTGTAGCCGTGTCCCAGTGACCCAGGTTCAACATGCATTTTACACTCTTCACTTATACAATGGACATAGTAAGGTACCTCTGAATAATGATGGAGAGGGGTCTATGTGAGGTGCTGAGCCAGTGGGAAAGTGTCCAGGAATTTAGGCTATCTGAATGTGGTTCTTGCTTGTTCTAGCATTTTCATTAATAGAACTCTTTAGACTCAAGCAGAATTAATCCTGAATTAAACTGTGATGCCAGCGTCCTCTGTATAGACGTAGTTCAAATCAGTATGAGAAAATTTGAATTTTTTTGTATATCGTGATATATATTTGCATTTTATTAACAGACTGTTTAAGATAATTGTTAGAAAAGTAAACTGAATATCTTTTTCTATACATTTTTGTAATATTTGCATAGCATCAACTCTACTGAAGCTGAACAAAAATAGATTTTCCAGACTTGATTGATGCTGTGTGATCAGACATAATATGTCTGTGTTTGTTCTAAATGAACCACTTGCACCTACAGAAATAATTATATGAATATAATTTACATGTAAATGTAGTTTCTTGTGAAGCATCAGAATGGCAAATTAGGCCCTGCAGACTACTATTTGCAATTAAATTATTAATGCTTCTGATAAAACTTCAGATCAATTTTTGTTGACCTTTCCATGTTGTAACACCACAAATTAAGTCTTCCTGAACAAAATCTATTTAGTTGAGTCAGATTTTTATTTTCATTACCTCGACTGGTAATAAGAGATCAGCATAAAACTGTGTTAACTTAGAGTATGCAAAGTTTTAAATTAGTTAGAAAATGGATTTATACAGAATTATTTCTGTGGCAGTATTTGTTGCAAAGAAATAACTACTGGATTAATGTAAGAAAGTACCAAGTACTCTAACACTTCTATTTTAGTTATAAATTAGTAAATAAAAAATTATTTACTACTTTGGCTTCCCAAAAAGATGCATTTTATTTTTAATGCTCTTCCTTTTTATTCTTAGAAGTCTCAGCTTCTTCATTTTGTAATGAAATCAAGTGATATATTGTTCTAGAGGTATTTACAGATTAAAAAAAAATTACCTCTGTTAGGTGAAAGGTAGAACAGAGAGGGCAATTACTGCTCATCACTGCGCGCCAAGTGCTGACATCTCTTCATCTCTGTAATGCAGAAAGATTATAATGGGCCAATGCAATCCCGGGCTCCTAACAGCTGGCAGACAAGGAGCTTTCTCTTTGCATGTTTAATTGTGGGAAAGGAGGAAAAATATTCTGAATTGGGGCATGTGTATGGGTTTTTCTGTTTGCAGGTGCCTTTTAATGTAACTCAAATTTTATGTGTAGTAGAGCCCATCTGGAGGGAGAAAGGTCTTTGGACTGCATCTGATTCTGGATAGTAGTGGGCCAAAGACAAAACTTCAGTGTAATTAAGACTCATATATTTTAAAAGTTATTTAATCAAAGTGCTGACAGAGCCAAAATTAGAAGTGTAATCAGAGTTTGTGTTTTATTCTGTGCTTGGAACTTTGTCTCGCACACTAGCTCTAAAATACATTGATCTTTTATTGGAAAAAAAAAAAAAAACAAACTGCCAGTCTCCTCAAAATCTGGTTATAACTTAAATTTTTCATTTTCTGTGTTCTAGCTCAAACCCTTCCAAAATCCATTTGGTAACCTTTGACCATTTTTTGCATTTCACAGCTGGGTCTTTCTGAAACAATAATTATGTAAATACAAAAAAAAAAAAATCTATGATGTAGTTCTTACGTATTATGCCTCTTGATCCTGCTTGCATACTCATGCAAGATCCAAAAGGATTAGTACTAGTGAGCATTTCTATGTGCCTTTTGAAATCTGTGTCTACTTAACCCACACTGAAGGAACTATTAATATGAACATTTTGCATTATTCTAAGAACATATTTTACTGGTTAATAAATAAAAGTTTTGGGGTTTGCTTTTTTTTGTCTATCTTTTTTCCTCTAGCCCTGCCAAGGTGGAAAGACTCGGGTCAGCTTGAACTTAAGATATTTTAATGTCATTAATTCATTAATTTTTTGGCCCTGGTCTACTTTGGTGAGGAACCAGTTAAGCTGACTACATAGATCTTCCTTGTTTGAGGATTACTTTTTCACTCCCTAAGATTCAAGGCTTGTAGTCACATCTCATGGGTATTGGGCTTGCACTGGGGTAAAACACTTGTTGAAGAACTAAGGCCTTCTAGGTATAAGTTCTCAAAACCTGATTTATTTAGGCAGGGGTTTTTTTAAGAATATAACAAAATCTTTGAAGTGAGTGTTTTTTATTGAAGGTTACCACTCGAGGAGAGGCTCACTTAGAACTAAATGCCTTTAGGAGGAAGCATGACTGTGCCTTGGTGATATCTGGGGACTCACTTGAGGTAAGAACTTGGTTTCTGTCAAATTACATTTATCTATATGCTTATGTTCAAAAAGTAAAGTATCAGTGTCTTCATGCTCTTAAACTTTTTTCCAATATTTGCCCATACTTTAAGTTGTCCTTAGAGATACTTTTGTTTTTCACTGAGTGCTAATTAGAAGATAGATGTTTCGATGGGCAAATGTTACTGGTTCTCTGGTCTCCTGTATGGTAACAGAATGGAATTTCTATGCAGCGTGCTTTAGCATTGTCTCTTCTCTTAACCCCAAAGCATGTTGGCTCTCTAAATGAAAGAGAACGTCAGTTTAAAATAATAAAGCCACAGTCAGTAGAATGTGGCTTTTTTCTCCCAGGTGGATGTTGTGCAAGCAAAACTTCATAACCGAATTCTTTATACTGTGTTTTTGTGTTAGACTACATGTAGTAGTATTTAATCATAAGTAAATGCAAGTGTGTTTTTTTCCTTAGGTTTGTCTGAAGTATTATGAGCATGAATTTGTAGAGTTGGCTTGTCAGTGTCCTGCTGTAGTGTGCTGCCGATGTTCTCCCACCCAAAAAGCTCATATTGTGAAACTGTTACAGCACCACACTGGAAAACGCACATGTGCAATAGGTAACTGCTGGCACGGTCTTCATTTGCAGTAGCTAAAATCTGTAATAAACTTAAGCAGTAGATGGCACCATTGAGAAATAGTTGAAACAAAACCAAAGAGACTTCTTTATCAACAGCCAGGTATTATGTAGCTGTAGCAGAAAATGCCATTCCACGAGAAAGGTGTGGTTATCTTCTTTATTCCACAGGAAAAAGTCTTGATGCTGAAGTAATTAATCATAATCCATAGATTAATTATAAGAATTTAAAGGTGTATAGGAGGTTTCTAAAATACTGTAAGGCTAGGAGAGTAAAACCTCTGAAGAGCTGAATATTGCAGTGACATTTTCCAGGTGATGGAGGAAATGATGTCAGCATGATCCAAGCAGCAGACTGTGGAATTGGAATTGAAGGCAAGGTAATGTTAACAGTTTCATTGTCAAATATGTGCCACATAGTAGTATAGTAACATTAGAAGCTTTATTCTTAAACAGGAGTGAATTGATCATTTCTAATTAAAGTATGCTGTAAGATGATAAAAATGCTTAGTCTTTGAACTAATATTTTCTTTGCTTCTATGTCCTCTGCTTTATCTTTTTAAATATAAAAAGCAAGAAAAGCAGAAAACACTATAGTTATTGCTGTGTAGCATTTACCTGAAAGAAGCAGGATAGGCGATTAATTTTATTTGTTACAGCCACTGCATCTTAGAATATGCACAAAAAATTGTCCTTTGTGTCTCGTTGCAGGGTTGATTTCTGAAGCAGGAGCAAACTTGACTTTTAATACTAATTATCACTTAGAATTTTGAAATTTGAAACACATCTTTTACACTGGGTTTCATATTTGGAATATTTTTTTGTTGTTGTTCTAGGAGGGAAAACAAGCTTCCCTAGCAGCTGACTTTTCTATCACACAGTTTAAACACATAGGTAGGCTGCTGATGGTACATGGTCGAAACAGTTACAAAAGATCAGCAGCACTTGGTCAATTTGTCATGCACCGAGGCCTTATTATTTCAACTATGCAGGTATTGAAAACTTTGTTTTCTGAATAGTTAAAAACACTATGTCTGACTTTGCAATGTCACAAAAATCTTTGTCAACCAGTATTGTTATTTTTTCCTTTATTGTAATGTTTTGTATATAGTTATAGTAAATATATATAATTATCTGCTTTTTGTAGGCTGTATTTTCATCAGTCTTCTATTTTGCATCTGTTCCCTTGTACCAAGGATTCCTAATGGTAGGGTAAGTCAAAACCAACAGTTACGATATCTGATAATAAATATAGCAAACTAACTTGCTAAATAACATCATGTAGTTGGTGTCTGCCGTGTTTTTCATACATTTATCATTGGTATGCTATCAACACCTGGATGAGTCTACAAAGTCAAACTAGGTTGAATATGTACTATATGAGGGGGGAAGCCTCATTATCAGCTCTCTGAAGAGAGGGATCTGCATAGCCTTAGAAGAAGATACCGTATAACCTTTTTCACATACGGGGTGAAAACAACAGAGGAAATCTCCCAGACCAGTTTCAGCTGTTACACAGATTGCCACACAAGCCTCAGTGAGAATCACAGATTTTTCTGTTAAAAATGGAGCTGAAGCTACCGATTATGAAATTTCCTCTGAGAGTGCACTAACCAAGTCTGCCACAGACTTCTGTTCAGGTGAATGTATGCAGGATTAGGAGCAACCTGGTCTTGTTGCAGAAGCTGCTGTAGTAATATGGTTCCCCAAGTCATACAGCTGAGGGATATGCATATATTCGTGTTTGTCCCTGCTCTCTGCCCCTTCTGTCCTAAGAGCTTCTTTTTATACTCCTTGTAAACAATAACAACTTAAATCAATTGTAACTTAAATCATAGTCAAATCAAGGTCTGATTACACCAGACTGCAGAGGCAAGCAGTAGACCTCTCCAAAATGTTTGTAAATAGTTGTGCCAAGTTCTAGGAAAGTACATACTAAAGTGTACATCTGGCATGTGCATACTAAAATCCAAAGCCACTTACAGAGCTGTTAAGACTTTTGTTCATCCACCTACCTATATCATGATGTCCACAATATAGTGCTTGTTTTTTCTTTGGTTTTCATGCCGTCGTCTGTGGATGAATTTAAATGTCAGGTCTTTGAACTGGTTGTCCAAAGTGGAAGTGCACAGGGAGTATGGTAACAGGTGATAAGCTTGGGTGATATACATATAAGAGAGAAATGTATTTACTGTTTTTGAATGTATAAAAGCTCTGTAACTTCTCATGACTGGCAGCTCTCAGAAGCACAAGAGCAGGTTGCACGTGTAAAGCTGTATTGGTAAGCTACCTCAGTACTGGGTAGAACCACCAGTTTAATTCCACTTACATAAAAAGAATAATTGAATTCAGTAGATAGGTTTAAAATCATATCATACAAAAGTGTCAATTTATGTGCTTTCCTTTCACCTAGGTATGCAACCATATATACTATGTTTCCAGTCTTCTCTCTAGTATTGGATCAGGATGTGAAGCCAGAAATGGCATTGCTGTATCCAGAACTTTATAAGGATCTCACGAAGGTATGAATGTCCTCAGTGCTCAGATATGAACAAATGCTGAAATCTCTGGTGTGCAAAACTGAGAATTCTTACAATCATTTCCTTAAGGTATTCTATACAAGACAGATGCACAATTAATGTAATGCAGACTTTTGTACTATGAAGATAATCAGTGGTACCAAATGTTCCACTCAGTTTTATTGATACATTTCTTAAGTCACCAATGGTTGGACTAAAATAATTCAAACATAAAGGTATGTTGATGTAAGAGTTGCTTTCAGTCTGGCCCCAGGATCTCTGATCTGGAGTTATTTATGCTTACTTTTTCACAGCTCCTTTTTCCTTTTTAACTGGTAGATTAATTTATAGATTCCTGCCCCTCACCCCACCCTCCAGAAATTACTACTGACCTCTCCAAAAGCTGACTTTCTTAAATAACAGATACTGATAACTGACATATCTTAACTGAATCATCTGTAGAGCCTGCTTTCTGTGTGTTTGCACATACCTGCAAAGTGTTTAATTTCTTTACCTGCAAAAGTGAAACAAATCTCAAGATTCTGTTTTTGTAAGTTTTTGGAAAAGTACTTCTGCTCCATCTTAAACTGTCAGCTAGAAAAGTTATGATCCAAGGCAGAAGCAGATAGTCTTTTTAGGGTTAGTAGTTTCTTCAAAGGTGTGTCTAAAAGTTAAAAAGCAGACTGTAGTCGAAGAGGGTCTACACTTCTCAGAGCCTTTGTCTTCTTAGTTGTACTAAATTAGCTATTAGCTATGTTAGTCTGGGAGAATTTTTTCTCATCTCTTGGAGATCTTGATTCTCTCTTCTTCAGAATCTCTAAAGCTTCTTTGTGAGATTTCAGCCTATGATTAATCTCAAAAAAGCATGGCCTTACACCTGCTAAAGGCAGTTGTAAGCTAACCTGTGGAAATCTGTTGATGGAACTTGGAATCATCTTGTTTCCGAAGATAGAAGTTAACCTGTACTCGGAAGCTGCCCAGGATGGGTAGATGAATACAGGCTAAGTTTTTTTGTTTAGGCTTAAATGACAGTTCTTGGAGATGCTGAATCACTGGCTTTCCCAGCTTATGTTGCACCTCTATGAATATTAAATAAGTACAACCCAAATAATTCTCTTCAGAAGAAAAAAAAAGATAATGTGGAGAAACTGGAGAGTACAGTTCAGTCCATTGTGTGGGGCAGATGATGATCAGTGAATGATTATGGATGAGTAGTAACAAAAAGTTACTTACATGCTACATTTGACTTCACTATTACAAGGTAATCTTATTGTGAGTGTGTATTACAACAATTTATGATCGTGCTGCCTTAGTCATGACACTATGAAGCCTACGTATTTCTGCACGTTGTTTTTCAAATTATGCAAATCTCTGCCAGTGCTATTCAGCTAGTGTTATTCAAACACGTGTTGACGTGGACGATAATTGTATCCCTAGGAATTGGTTTCTTTTCTGGGATATGCTAGTGATGAAAATGCTTTTTAGATTTTTTTAAAAGAGTAAGATATAATGGCACAAGTCATTGACAGACTCTTGGTCTGATGCAAGAAAAAGAGAAAATTAGCAAGGTTCAGAGAGACAGGTGTGGCCACATACCCGGAGGACACACTGATTCAGTATTACTGTTACTGTGGCTCCTATGGAGTTATAGCTAGAAATTTCTAGCTGATGAAAATTTGAAAGGAAGTACAAGTAAGAGGGCTCCCTGCTTCCATCTGAAAATGATTCACAGCCTGTTGTGCAGCATGCCCTAGAGGCTCAGGTGTGACTTCCCCTTCTAGTTCCATAAAGGTGAACCAAAACTCAAGCTTATTCTTATTTCACAAATCTCGCTAATTGGGAGCTATGGTCGAAGGTGGAAGCAGTGTACAGTACTCAAAGGGAAATGAGTAGGCACTCATAGGAGAAAAAAATCTCATGTTTCTTTGTGCTTGTACAAGAATTTTTTCCCATGTGTTCAGTCTGTCACCAACATTCTAGACTATATACAGAATTATGAAAATGTCTTTAGCACCTTGCCACGAACTCTATCTATCCAAGAAAATGTTTTAGCCTATACTGAAGTAACAGAAAGAGTTAATTCATCACTTTCTACAACAGTGAAGCACATTTCTTTGTAAAGTGCTGATTCTTCCCTGTTCCAGTGATCACTTCTTTTGTGCCAAAATGGCTGCTTTGTTTGCTGCTTTATCCTTTTAAATGCGTATCCTTTCAACTCTGCAATTCTAACATTTCATCAGTACCCTCACAGAATGCAAGTCATATGCAAATGTACAGCATTTATTCTTTGATTTATGCATAAGTTTCAATCTATAACATTCACAATCACAAGAAGATTTAAAATGTATTTAGTAAGTTACTTGCTGAAAACTTATAGTAGTCATATGTTTATTCTATGAATGCAAATTGATAGTTTATCCAACATTTAGAAGTGACTAGTAACTACAGTTTTGCTTGAGGTTTAGGTCAGTAGGTACACAATACTATTTTTCTTAAAGACTACATTTTACAAAACAGACATAAAAACATTTTAAATAAAAAATAAACTAATTTTACTGTAATTACCCCTCTGAAACATTCACAATCACAAGAAGATTTAAAATGTATTTAGTAAGTTACTTGCTGAAAACTTATAGTAGTCATATGTTTATTCTATGAATGCAAATTGATAGTTTATCCAACATTTAGAAGTGACTAGTAACTACAGTTTTGCTTGAGGTTTAGGTCAGTAGGTACACAATACTATTTTTCTTGAAGACTACATTTTACAAAACAGACATAAAAACATTTTAAATAAATAAAAAACTAATTTTACTGTAATTACCCCTCTGAAAACCAGCCAGAGCATTGCAAGGTAAAGTATCTTTGTTGTTTAAGGCCTTAACTGTTCTACCCCCAAATTTAGATTTGTGTGATTTCTATACAAGTTTGCAGTGAAGAATCATAAAAACAAGTAGAAGCTTTTTAGTCTATATCACTTCAAAGACTGCTTATTTTACTTGTATACTGTCTCTCTAGTGATTAACTATTAAAAATATATGAACTGAGTAGATTTCTTTTTTTTAAAAGTTATGTTTAACTGTCCTCTCACTTGTTTCCCTTAGGGAAGATCTTTGTCATTTAAGACCTTCCTCATCTGGGTTTTAATCAGTATTTACCAAGGTAGGAGAGAGTCCTAATTTTACTGAACTGAGAATTTTTTGTCTGCTATTAGCAATATTGTTTTTCAGCTGCAGGTTGAATTCCCAAAGCTTAACATTTCATCAGCAGTTATATATATTGCTTTCTGTTTATCTTGTAAATCGATATTCTTGTAGTGTGCCAGGCCTATTCAAAACACAGCATGGATTGGTATTTTTATTGATGCATGTCACCTAAAAAAGGACATGTTTTTAATTAAATGCTAATCCAGAAAAATTTTAATGAGGGCTTATCACATTGCATATATTTACACAGTAGTTTTCTTTCATGGAATGACAGAAGTACTGTTGAAGAAATCTGAATTATGTAAGCAGTTAGAAGTAATTACACTTTCAACAATATCTCATTTATTTGTAGCACTTGACAAAATGAGGTTCATTAACAGTTCATCAGATATATGGCACTAAAAGGTGTTTAATTTTCTAATAGTTTTATTTCTTTACAGCTTTACTTTGGTTGTTTTATTTCACATGCACAAAGCACAGTAAATATCACTTCTGTTGTTTTAGAAAGATAATGTTGTTACCTTATAAAAAAAATTACTGGGCAAGTTTTGATAATAAGCAATCCAAATGTTCAGTGTGCAGTTGTTGCAAAAACTGGTACACTGAAATTTCATTGCTCAGTGTTTTGTTAACTTTGTGTGCCTTTCCTAGGTGGTATTCTGATGTATGGAGCCCTGCTGCTTTTTGAATCTGAATTTGTACATGTCGTTGCCATTTCCTTCACTGCCCTAATCTTGACTGAGCTCTTAATGGTTGCACTGACCATACGAACATGGCACTGGTTAATGGTGGTGGCTGAATTCCTCAGTCTTGGCTGCTATGTGGCCTCTCTTGCATTTCTAAATGAATACTTTGGTGAGTAATAGTAGAAGTATTTTAGCAAAGAACTGTGCTTTATATTTTTAATACTTTTTTCTCCTTTTTTTTTTATTAAGAATAGGTGATGTTATGCTTTGTGAAATACGGCTTTCTCCATAAGAAACATGACTGCATTGAAATTAGGCTTAATTAATGTTGGGTTAAAATATTCTCTTATCCTCTCCTCCTAGAGTTTGACAATCTTTATTCCTGTTAGTATGATTTATCTAGATAATAAACTTTACTCAAACCACGGATGCTTTTCCCATCCTTGATCTGATCTTGACAGTCCAAACTGCATACCTTAAATTGGCTTTGAGATTTGCAGTATTGAAATGGATATGATTGAAAAAAGTCAGGATCTTTCACTGAGTTGGTGAATTATTTTGTATGCCAGACCAAGTGGACCTCATTAAATCTAACCCACAAACTTAAAAGAGCTGAAGAATTGCTAGAGAGTGAGGCAGAAGGCTATTAGGATAGATACTTTATATAAGAATAATTGTTCCGTAATTATATTAAGCTTATTTTAAGCTTGCTTTGCTTTAAATTGCAGTATGCCATACTGTCTCTTAAGGTTCTGATTGTTCATAGTTCACAAGATGACATCAAGACTTTTTAACTGCAAATTTTAGCAGTCAAGGATCTGAGCATCAAAATAATACATAATTCTTTTTATATCAAATTATCCTTCAGTAAAAAAAACTATCTTAGTGTGATTTTTACAAATGTAACTTCTACAGAAAGATAAATAACAATTTTGATTATACCTCACAAGGAGTAGAATCCAGCTCCTGCTCTCTCTGTGTTCCAGGAGCTGAGGAGTAAGGAGTTGCCCTTCTTCAGTTGTCACTTCTCATAGCAGAATTAAATGTTACATGGTAGTTTCTAGGAGTCTGATAGTTCTGCTTTTACTATCTCATGTCCCAGGTGTTCAACACTAGGGTAGCGTATTTACATTATATAATTATTTTTTTTAACCAGTAAATGCTTCACTGCCTGTCCCAGGTATTCTGTTACTTCCCAGATTTCTCAGGAGTCAAATTTTAATGAAGAAACAACCCTGCTGGGCTTGGTACTTGTATTGTACATTATTTCAGGTTTGCCAGAGTACCTTTTTCTTTTCTCTGACACTGATGCACAGACTCTTTAATATAGAGATTATTGAGTTGATTCCTGAATCTCCACAGCCAAATTACAAATTAAAGGAGCAAGCAAGAACAGACACAGGTACTGGCTCTTTAGTCCAAACTTCCAGGAACTTCGTAAAGCAGAACTTGCTGCTTCACCTTTTTAAGTCTTTAGTATTGGTGACAGCCAGTCCCTCCATCCTTTGTAGGTGCTGTTCAGTGAGAAACACCTTTAGGTGGTGTTCACAGATGTGTAAAAACTGCAGGGACTTTGTTTCTTGCAAACCTTTCTGTAAAGGGGAGTGCTTTACTATCCTCATGTATTTGCTGGACAAGTCCAAGCAACTGCGTAAGTAAATGGTTGCATGGCTTCTCCCAGATTTCATGGGCTTTTGTGAAGATGCATTTTACTGTGTGTTATTAATCAGTTAATCTGAGAAAATGCATTTCAGTTAGTCTCACTTTTCTGAATGCTTTACTCTTACTGAATCTGTCACATTATAACTGGGGGGAGGGAGCCTTTTTTGTGCATGTAATGCAGTATAAACCTAAGTTATGGTTTACAGTTCAAGGTATAGAACAACTTCCTTGTGTCAGGAATGCAGTCCAATAGTGCTTGACTTCATTGGCAAATAAACTGTTTCTTTCAATGATGTTACTTATAAGCATCATCTCCTCCCAAAGAGACGATATCCTTAGTATGACAGGGCACTCAAATTAGAAAGACAAAAATATTTGATACTGCTCTACAGCTCTGACTCATGGAAGTAAATCAGTTTTTAGGTTTCTGAATTAATTGCACACAATGGCCTTATTAGGCATCTCTCTCTGATACGTTACATAGGCTTTTAGTACGTCTAAGCAGGCTTAGACTAAAACTGTGTAACTAGTTTATACATTGAAATCTAATACACAAAGTATTTTTAATGAGTAAAGTTGGAGCAGTAAAGCATTTCTTTACTGCATTTTCTGAAGTGAATTTTCATTCACATAGAAATAGTTCTGATCAAATTGTTTATACAGTAAATTTTACCTTGAAGTCAAATGTAAGAAAACTGCCTACCTACTTACAACCTTAAAAAATGACCGAATATAAAATCTCTATATTTTTCAAAATGGTTTGGTTTAACTGCTGTTTAAAATATTCTGATTGTCATGTGAAAGGCTATTCCAGTTAATGCTACTAACATCTTTTTCATTTCCTTTTTGTGTAGCTAACCTGTTTGGTTTTTTTTTTCACATAACTTTCATATTTTCTGTAAATCTGTCCTTTCATTTTCATTCTCCCTCTTTGTGAAACAGGTATAGGCAGAGTGTCTTTTGGAGCTTTCTTAGGTAGGTGAAATTTAACTTTTCTTGAAGTTTTTTTTTTTAAGTCTTTAAAAATTCATTAAAGAGTAGTAAATTATTTAATATACGCATTTGTAAATAATGGAAAAAAGCAAAAAAAACCCCAATTCTTCAGGTTACCTGGGTTCTGGGATCTTTCCATGATAATTAAGTACGACCTGACCGTTACAAATATGGCCAAAAAAATTTCAGTAGCAAGTGTAGGGTGTCACCATTCTTCTTAATGTTTGTCACAAAAAATAGCTTTTCACTGTGGTTTGTGGCAATATCACTACCTTGTTTTCCCTTTACATTTTTGGGCTCTAATTTAATCTCTAAGGTTTTACGAATCATTCAGTCTAGTTGTCGTGACTGTTTCAGAGATAAATAATATGAATATGAAATAAAGGATTCAAAATGGTAGCAGAATTTCTGGTTGGGAACTTGTATTATAGTGGGTAAAAATCGTTCTTACTAGTAGAAAAATAAGCTGGCTTAACTTTCTATTATGAGACAGTCTTGCTTTTAAACTGAGCTTCTGTTTCCTGTAAAATTATTTTGTGCTGCAAAACAGTGTAAGGACAATAAATGAACTCTGAAGTTCCTGTCTAAAGAAAATAGTTGGCAAAAACAAAATGTTGAGCTTAACTTTCTCTTTCTGTTGTTTTGTTGCCTTTTTTTTTTAACTTTGCATGATCTTGAACAATGGCATAAGCAAACAGTTAAGAGAGTTTTATTGACTTTGCACTATGGAAGTTCCAGTTTCCGTGTTATCAGCTCCCATTACTTATTTTTTCTTTTTGTTTCTGCAGATGTTGCCTTTATCACAACTGTGACCTTCCTGTGGAAAGTGTCAGCAATCACTGTTGTAAGCTGTCTTCCACTTTACATTCTCAAGTACTTGAAGCGCAAATTTTCTCCTCCAAGTTACTCCAAGCTTACCTCGTAGAAGTAATTATATTCCTATGGTTTTTCACTCACACCAGTCTGCAAATTGCACATTCACTGTGCTTTAGTGTCTATGAATTTATGTTGGACTGAAGAAATTAAAAAAAATAAAAATAAAAAAAATAAATCAAAAGTGAAAGAGTGACTAGAGCACAAAAAGAGGAGGAAACATCTGACAGGTACAATAACACAGAAGTACACTAACAAGACTATCAGAGACAAACTAAATTTTCTTCATGTTGATTTTTTTTTAACTTTTAGTTGCTATGATTATAAAATAAAACAATTACCTTTGATTTGACAATGCTTCTGAATGTTTTCATTGCTACTGTAAAGGATTTTTTCCTACTGTACTGATCTTCTGCAAGTTGAATTGAAAGTTTCATTATTTATTACGTAACTTCCCTTCTTTAATTGTTACATAACTTCCTAATTCAAGTCCTTTCCTTTAATGTTTATATATGGGAAAAGTTCATTCGTCCATACTTACTGTAACAAACCTAATACCTGTAAATGCCCGTGTCTGTATTAGCAGCTAACTGTTATTCCTCGTCAGACATTGAGTAATATGCACTATTTGAATTATGTACAGATGTCTGCATAGCACAGTATTATTTTAGGAGCTGTTCTCCTATTCTGTACTCTCACATTTCTGGCACCAGTAAGTATTACAGATCTGTGATGTTGACAGCAGTTCTTCAAATGCACATTAGAGCCAGGTTGCACAAAAGCTGTTTAAAAATTAAATGATAAATTCTGTACATAATTCCACTGCACCTATTGATCTGTACAGATATCAAAGACATGGCTGCTCAGTAAATATGTTTTAAAATTCTTATTCATTTTGTATTTGTAAAACTGCAAATAGTGTCAAAGTACATTTCTATATATGAGAAGTCCAGTAAACCTTGCATTAGCTAATAAGTTTAAATTGCCTTGTAATCTGTTTACTTAGGTTACTCAGGTAAAAGAAAATAAGACGAACACATGAACATTATGGTAGGAAAATCTGTCATCTTCCAAGTTGTAAATGTTATGTTTTTATAACTTAGTTTGGGTGCAAACTTGTTTAAAAAAAAAAAATCAAAACATTTTTGCTTGTTGTAAACTGTCAGAGTTGAGTATCTTGGCTGAGTTATGACACTTTAAGGCAGTTGAAGATCTGTTCCAGAAACTCATATGCTCTGATACAATCTGAAGGGTCCAAATCTTGCATACTGTACTGGAAAGTAGGATATATTATTTTAGTTTTCCATTGTGATATAACTTTGCTTTCTCAAGAAGTACGTATAATGAATTTATCATAGTCTATTAATCAGTGGGAAGGAACAGCATAATTATCCGTGCTTTATTTATTAAATATTTATGTGTGTGTTTTTAAAAAACACTTAATATGGAAGTCATTTTTATGTTTGACTGTATGCCTTTACAACATAATTCCTTATTTAGTCTCTTATAACTTTGCTCTTATGCCATTATTATATTGGATGAGTAATATTGAAGTGATAAATATAACTACTTCCTGGGAGAGCAGAGGAAACTGCTGCAGAGCTATTTGGATTCCACTCCATTAATTTTTGTTTCGAAGGTTTTTCCTACTAGCTATTTATCTGCCTTTTTTTTTATTTTCATTCCTCATTATAAAAGCAATAAAGCCTAATTTCTACCAAATATTATTAATGATATATGTATTAAATGAACTGCTGAAGTAGTGTTTCTTTTAATTACGCAACATTGCAGACTAGTTTGCTCTGTCCCTCTGTAAACTCACTTCTGTAAAACCCCCACAAGATGTCACTGTTCTTGCATACTAGCAGAAACTTTTCTTCATTTTATGTGGTTTTGGCAAGATCTCTAGGTTTGTATTTTTAGTTTAGTCCTGTGATATTTTTGTTGCTGATTTGCTTTAGTTTTCTATTTTTCCCCAGTAAGTGGTAATTATCATAGAATCATATCATAAAATAGTTTGGGTTGGAAGGGACCTCTAAAGGTCATCTAGTCCAACCCCCCTGCCGTGGGCAGAGACATCTTCAACTAAATCAGGTTGCTCAGAGCCCCGTCCAACCTGACCTTGAACGTTTCCAGGGATGGGGCATCCACCACCTCTCTGGGCAACCTGTTCCAGTGTTTCACCACTCTCAGCGTAAAAAATTTCTTCCTTATATCTAGTCTATATCTACTCCCCTTTAGTTTAAAGCCATTACCCTGGACCTTCAGATTTCAAATTACCTTGAATCAATTAAGAAAAGTCACCAGTGTGCAGTTGTTCTGAAATGTTGATGATGTTCTCTTCAGACCTTTTTGTCTTACGCATTGTGAGCTCACAACCATATGTGTAAGATCAGTAGATAAGCAAAAGCTTAGAGTTGGTCATCCTTCATCTATACATCACATCTTTGACATTAGGCAGAAAATTATAAAAAATCAAAAATTAAACTAGCAATATGAAAGTGATAGTGTTGCCCTAATACAGCTGTATGAGATACACATGGATACGATTGTACAGAATTTATAGTGTACATATATTAATCCTCAGCATTAAGACTGTGAGGTTAGTGTGATAGCAAATGTATAGATCCTACACACAGATAATAAGCCTTTCAAAAGTGGAGTCAATTCTCTAGAGTGTCTGCTTTCTTAGAGTGTTTTCAGTATACATCAAAGGTCTAGTTTCAGCTAGCACTTTATTTTGAAGACTGCGGAAGTCTGATTCAGGTGACTTACCTTGCTTTTGAGGTTCAGTCACTGCAAAACTGTATACCAGGAAAGCCTGCTTTCTATTAATTCATGTCACTCACCCACAGCCCTGTAAAGGGGTACCGGATCACAGTGGTTTACAGGTAACAATATCAATACAGAATTTTAGTGTAGTATGACATCTTTCGGTAGAAAGCTTTAATGTATTGTGGATTTCAGTACAAAGTAAGCTAAGTACCATCACAGTCCCTGGCTCTTAAAACAGACTGGAATGGTAACATGTCTGGTGTGTGGGTGAATAAATTATTTCGTAAGAATCTCATTCTGTTGTCATTTCACATCAGTATATGTCAGAAGTAAGTCTAGAGCAACAGATCAGCTTACATAAACACAGATTTAGGCCTTGGATCTGCAGGTTACACCCAGAAGGAGCTTAGTTTTATTTGGTATTAAATAAATACTTACTTTTGTGAGCTGCTATGTCAGATAGGTATTTCTGAAATGGTAGTCATGTCTCTTTGAAAACATACTTGGAAAATAATTTCAGAATTGGGAAAGGATGGAGGAGCAAGATGTGAACAGGAAATATGTCTTCACCAAAGTAACATACATAACAATACTGACCTATTTGGACCATGTTTAATAAGCACATGAGCTAAACATCTGCTAGATTTCCTATGTAGTTTGATGGAAGCACACAGGGAAAAGGAGAGATCCTGCAAAAAAGGAGTACTGGTAATTATTACACTGGTCTCTTCTGCTGCTATTCTAAACTTATGTGTTCATGTAACAGCTGGAAAACATTTTACTACACAAGGTATTAGTATGGAAATGGAAGCCAAAATTAAATTCTTGCATACTTAACATTAAATCTGTAGCACTCTTCCATGAATGCGAGTGTTTACAACAGTGTTTTTATGTTCAAACTGTACTTGTTGACACGTACCATCAGAATTCAGCTGTGTGGTATCTCCTGTTTTCTTCCTAAAATTTGAGTGGTTTTCCAAAAACATGCCATTGCTTTTGTATGTACATAGGAAGCGTGTATTATCTTCATGAGCAGCATCCACTTGAGCCAACCTGTCCTCCTACTCTGTGTCCACAAGAGCGTGCGAGCCTAAGCATTTTTCAGTCTCCTTTTAAAACATGTCTGCCAGAGGGAACTCTGCAGTTGGGAACCTTTTCAGACTGGACACCAGTTCTGCAGGTATTTAAGCAAGAGTTTTAATATTCACGTACGTAGTTAAACAGCTATTAGTTATGGGGGTCAACTTCTGTAGACAAAGAGGAGATGACTTCCCTACACGCTGCTCTTACTTATGCCCATTTGTGTGTGTTAGAGAGTAGGCCTAAGCAGTATAGTCTCCATACTCCTCTGCAACCTTATTGCTGTCTCAAGGCGTTCGGATTACTCTGAGGAAGAACTGGCCTCAGATCTTCTGCTGGTGAGCTAGGCAGAGCAGTCCTGGGATCATCCTCCATCCCTACACTAATGTGCACCTCTGCCTTGCTCACATAGGGTACACTGGAGGGTTCCTTCATCGCTGGAGGTTGGGGCTGTTTGTGCCTGAACCACCTTTGTTTGCATATTTGCCACACGAATGATGGTGAGTCAGGCCTGGGGAAGGGCTTACTGTTTAAACGACAGTATAGACTTCCGTAGAGGCTTTGGAGATGGCTGTTAACTAAGGTACTCTGACATGACCTCTTTTCCCACTTTTGCAGAGCTCTGCATCCCTGGGTTTTATATTGGCGAGATAACTTGAAAGAAGCTTGCATCTGTTTCACGCTCACATCCCTTCACATGTCCTGAAGTGTTAATGTAGTTCCAACAGTCCCTGGAGGGCAAAGGAATTTAGCGCAGAGTATATGCAAAGGGATGGTAGAGTCTGGGCAGACAGTGCTCCTTAAAACGTGATAGCCACAGGAGGAGAGGTGGCTGTTCTGCTCTCACTACTGGTGCAGAACCTCTTCTTGTAGGTCCTGCTTACTCTGACATCCATTTGAATTTTAGCTTCCATGGAGTTTCTCCTTATTTTTGCTGGCTAGAAAGGGAAGAATTGGGCCGGCAGTCTCTTCTAACACTTCATTTAATAACCTTTCTGTATCTAAGCTGTTATAACTCAATTGAAACTTGAAGGCAATCAAAAAAGGCCTTCGATATGTTAGCCCCCTGTAGGGAGTAAAATCAGTACGAGTGAACAAAGACAACATGGATCAAACATTATATGTAAACAAACAGGAGGTGCAATATCTTTAATACTGTGTTAAAAAGCGTAGGAATTCCTTTTGTAAACAAAACACACTTAAAGCAAGATACTTTCCAACAAGTATTAACTACCCAACAGATGCCCTCAGCAGGGTTCACAGCTGTTACTGTGAGTGGGAATTTGCTCAGCCAATTGCTAACAAAATCCTTCTCAAATAGGGAATTGCACTGAAAGACCTATTTGCTACTTCATCGACCAAAAACATAGTTTTGATCAAAACGTTTTACAGCAGAGGTTGTGAAAACCAGATGCCTTGAACAGAATAATGAGAGAGCGCTCCACAGTTGAGTTGACAAACTCTGCTTTATTCTCCCCTTCCTGACCAGGTTTTAGCAAAACTGCGGCCGAGATGTCTCCTTATTGTAGTCTCCTCCTGTCCTCCAGCATGCTTTCAACTTGAGGTCGTAATCGGCAATGGTAAACTTCTAAATTGCTCAGAAAAAAGCAGGGTTGAGGAATACTTAGCCTGTTTGCATTACTGAGCTATAAGAAAGATCATCATCTGCTCTAAGAAGAGGAGATATTATTTTCTATAAATGTGATGCACGGTATTTATGGCCCTGCCTTTATTCTTCTAGCAGTAAACCATGTTTATTTCCTCTTCTCTTGACAAAATTAGTAAGAATAAAAAGGGCTTTGGTTATAATGTTCATGTAGCTTTAAGCAAGCAGTACACAAAATAAGACTATTGTAATTCTTATTTGTAGAACTACTTTCCATTGTTTCTCTATAATGTACACATCTAGTTTTTTCCATGGACCCTCTGTGTTTTGCTGTGTTTTGCTCCGGGTTCTAAGCATGAATTTGATTTTGCAAAGTAAACACACATTGTGTGGAAGCGAATTATAGATAACTACTTCAAAAGTCTGTTGAAAATGAATTCCTGGAAGGCTGGGGGATGTTAATGGATGAGCAGACCTGTAAGGGATAAGTGCATGTACATATGTTTTGTATTTCTTGCAATCTTCTATTGCCTATTTGAAGGACAGATCTGGGAGTTCTCAGTCAAGATGCTCCCTTGGGGAAAACCTTTGTGCCACATGTGCTCAGTAGAGGAAGATGAGCCGTTGTCTTCCCTGAGTGTAATCGGTGGTTGCTGCC